TAGTGGTACAAATGTTGTTCTAAATTGCTTAGTAGTTGTAAAATTTCTTTCTCCTTTCTCACTTGAATAAAGTCTTCCCCGACACCCTCGCTTTCATGCATGTTAATTCAAAGTAATCTTTAAAAACATAATAAATAGAGCGTAATCTTTGAAAAATTGTGCTCAAAGTACAAAATATAACTTAAAGTAATCTTTGTAAATATAATAAACAATTCAATCTTTGCAAAATTAATGAAAAATATAGAAGTTGAAAAATGAAAGATATTTACAGAAAATAAAGTATATGAACATTTACAAATTGAAATGTGCATAATATACAGAAAAGGCCAGAAGATGAATTAATTAACTTACGTTCTTGCCAGTGTGAGGACGGAGATGTGTTCGTGTTTGTCTTCTTACTCAGAAGGAATTTGGTATGCGAACCAAGATGAAGAGAGAAGCAGAGAGAGACCCTTGAATTATTACAGTCAGGGACTTTGAGAAGCTATTTTTGGAATGAGGGAGGGAAGTGGTTGTGGAGCTCTTTTGCAAGTGCAAAAGGCGTCTGTTAAAATTTTGATTTTATACTGACTAGTTAAAGGATGATAATTAATTTCTGGCTAATTGTCGTAGCGGAAAGAGGAAAAAAGAAGAGAAGTAATCTTCACTGCTTACGAGTTATTAAGCAGTCTTAGAATATTGAAATAGGCTCATTTTTTAGTAAAAGCAATAAAGAAAACGCCAGAAACAATAAAGTTTTACATTATATACGGTAATTACACTTCAGTAATTACACTATTTACAAATCCTCTAGCTGATAGTTATCCAACTTTTCAGGTTTAGGAACAAATTTTCATATCCCTATCAGCTAAATGATTTATTATTATTTATTTATTTAGGAGTATTTAACGCCTGCTCTTTTAAGACAATGATTAACAAAATGATCAGGTACTACACTATTTTTAAGAATTTTAATAAGTAGCAGAATTTCGCGTTGTAGATCTATTGTATCTGCACAAATATTTTTAAATCGTTGTATTTGATTTAAGATAGTATTACTAACAACTTTCTTGGATATGTTGGAAGTCCTTTTTACTAATTTTTTAGTATTGAAATTGAAGTCTCGTGTTTTGTCAAACAGTAATTTTTTTTTTTTTTTTTTAGTTAAGTATTTGAAGATCAAGATAGTCGATGATATTTTGTGAATGATTGATTTTATTAAGAGTAAGGCATTCTGGATAAATCTCTGAGTTTCCACTCTTATTAAAATTATTAAATGTAACAAGATCATCTATATATCTGTAAGTGTGTGCGTAGTAATTTAAATCATCTTGCTGTAAATTTTTTTGGAAGGTAAGTTCTTTGATAAATAAAAATGTATATCAGACGGAAGTACTAGAATGTGCGCCCGTTGGGATACCCCTGACTTGCTTAAAAAGTTGATTTTGAAATTTGATACTGTTATGAAAGTGGTGCATTTTAGGCAGGCTTTCCATTTATTAATGTTCATAATTGTGAGCAAAGCAAAGAAGAGTTTATGCTGATCTATTAGGTTAGTATAGATTTATTCTAATGGAAGCGAGTTACATAAGTTCTCAAGTCATAGCAGTTAATGATTTGTATGTCGATAGACTGAATGGTACTAATGACAGAAGTGTGATTTTGGATGATCCAGCAATATTTATGATCAGTGTTACAGGCGTTGAAGATAATTTTACAATTCTTTTAAAGCTGAAGTGCAAAATAATAGTCTAGATTTTTCTTGTAGTTATCTGATTTTAATGGTGATTTATGGAATTTGGGAAGAGCATATAGCAGGGTGGCCAAAGAGCAGCTCGCGAGCTTGATATGGCTCTCGCAGGCCATTTGTGCGGCTCGTGCATATAAAATATATGTATGAAATATGGTAAACTAAAACTATTCAGTGTCCAAAAGGAATTAATTAATTAGTTTAGACTCTTTTTACAAAGTTATCAGGGATTTCTTTCTATTTAAAACCTCCCCCACTACTTCTATATTGATGTAAATATGAACTTGTGGCTTTTAGAAAATCTAGATGCGGCTCTCGAACATTCCTGATTTCAAACGTGCGGCTCTTACTGACATGAAGTTTGGCCAATCCTGGCATATAGGTTAGTAAATCTGTTGTACCTTGGATTATCCAAATTAGCTGTAATTATGTGCTGGTGATGAGCATCTAAGTAAGGACTGAAAATCTGCAATGTCATTTAGTCGACTCTTCTATTTCATGGTGGTTAGTAAGTAAGCTGCTTAACGTTTTTTGATATTTAAATGCAACTATTGGTTTGGTGTCTATGACTGGGAAGAAAACTTTACATTTGTTGAGGATGCGAGAGAAGTGAATATTTTCAAACTGCGGATATAGAAAATTGATTTTAATATAAATTTTGCGTTTATCTAGACAATTAGAAAGTAGTATACTCATTATAAAAAAATAAAATCATAAAAGGTTTGACCTGTATGACAAAAACTGAATAGGATATTTAATTTTTAAATTTGCAATTTTTGATGCCATTTCCAACTTGCCTTGAGGGAGCGGTAAACGGTAAAATGTCTTTTTTGTCATTGTCATTCCAGTCAAGTAGGCTCAGAATTTCTGCCTGACGTAACAGTTTATATGATGGTAATGATAACCAAGTAACGTAATGATAACCTCGAGATGCAGAAACACGCTCTCTCTTAAAATCCAAAAAGCCTCAGCTTAGATACACACTAACTCATTTACATTTCTGGTGATTAAACAGAAAGGAGAAATTATAGCAAAGGCTAAAATTATAAATGACTGGTTAATGCAAAATACACTGCTGGCCATTACAATTGCAACACCACGAAGGAAAGCAAATACAAAAAAGATATTTATTGCATGTAAACAGTATAGCATGAAGACCAAATTAAATTTGTAAGCATTTTGGAGGTTTATAGGTAAGAAAGAAAGCATTTTGTAGGGGGTGCGAAATTAGTAGAAACAGCTGCCACCTCTGGCAGCTGAAACGGCCCTTACCCCATTAAGCATGGAGTCAAACTAGGCTTGAATGACACAAATGGACAACTCATTCCGTGCTGCTTCATGTCTATGCCACATTTCATCAACCGTATTAGCTAGAGAGGGGTGGCGGGCGTCTCAGCAACCCATGACCAGATGTGTGGGGGACAGATCTGTAGACCGTGCAGGCCAGGGCAGCAATCGAATACTCTGTTTATCGCGGAAGGTCAGAACACGACGTGCAACATGTGGTCTTACATTATTTTGTTGGAACCTGGCTTTTGGGCGCCTCGAACATAGGGCACAACTACTGGACTAAGATGTCAGAAATGTATCCGTCTACGTTCAAATTATCGATCCGAACTAGAGATGTACGTGTCATGTACCTAATTTGTCTGTCCAAACCGTCACACCAGGTGCAAAGTCCCTATACCTACATCGAATGTAGGCAGGCGATGTGCAGTCTTCTCGGACACTCCAGACACGTATACAACCATTAGAATACTGCACGTAGAACAGCGACTCGTTTGAAAAGGCGACACTGTGCCACTCCTGTACCCAGCTTTGTCGTTTGGCGTACCATTGTCGCCGTCTCCCTCTATACTGCATTGTCAAGGAAAGCCGAATCAGTGGTCACCCTGCTGATAGTCCACGCTGCTACAAATCTCGACGCACTATACGAGCTGATACTGGGCGTGCTCAAACATTCCCATTTCCTGACTAATGATCCTTGATGTGGGCGTACGGTTTTGCATCGCTGACCTCAAGGAAGTTCATTGACGAGGAATTGACATCATCATTGACATCATCATTGACATCATCGTTGACATCATCATTGACATCATCATTGACCTCATCATTGACAAGGAAGTTCCGCTTTCCGCAGAAGTTGCAAAAAGGCTCCTCAAGACAGCATTTCAAGAGACATGGTCATCACGATGGCAGGAAGAAGAGACAGGAAGATTTACTTACAACATCTTCCCAATACCTTCTCTCAAGAGGCTGAAATGCAACCGACTCTTCCTCCAAGCCTGTACCAACCACGGGAAATTCCCAGCGTATTACAGACGTTTCCTCAGACGGGACGTCAACTGTTCTTGCGGTTTTCGCGGGGAAGACGCGGACGCACTTCATTACCTGCTCTCCTGCCCTCTGACAGAGCACCTTCGACAGCAGTTCTTTCCTTCCGACTACATCACATATCCTGTGAATAGACTGTTCACGGACTATTACTGCAACAAGGGCATCTTAGAGATAAAGAAGCAAGTGAATGAAAATAATTATATCCAAGAAACTACAGGTTAAAGTAAAATGTAGAAAGGCGGCCTAACCGTCAGATTGCTAGCAATGAATAGGATAACTTCCTAACCCTGTAGTGCCATTAACTCAGTTTGGCGGAACAGGTTAAGTAAAGTGACCATATATATCGCTGACCTCAAAATATGTCTTTCCTCTCTGGCGTTAGTCATGGGAGGGCGTTGAGATTCTGCATGCCGTTCAGTATTACCCTCAGCATTCCATTGATTCCATATTTTGCATGGCAGTGGTTGGATGTTGACCAGTGCGACCGGCGATATCACGGAAACGATAATCTAAACTTCCGATATGCAACGATCCTGTCTGTATTGAATTTCGAAACTTTCTGATAAGCATTTAATCTTCTTACTCGAGGTATAACACGATATTTCGAGCAAACTCCAACCTTACAAAGCACTTTTCCGAATGAGAAATCCACCACACATCTTTTCTCTCATGCAGTGCTTCAGATGTCGTTTCTCACTCCTGCATCGTCTAAATGCGCTGAAATACTAATCGTATGCATATCCCAACTTCTTCCTTTCATGTGATTTTGAAATTCGCCAGATCATTCCTTCCTGGCGTTGCAATTTTAATGACTAGCCGTGTAACAGCAACTTTACAATTCTTATTTTGTAGAACCAATATACAAGATATAACTGTTTGAAATATAAATTTCTAAACTATCTAGAATCTAAAACCAGCATTCTTCTTTTTTTAGGTTCATGAAGCTTTTGGCCAGATAAACAAAGATATAATATTACCAGATGCACTGGAGACAGCAAACGGTCTGTTCATACAACGGGGATTTTCTGTTTCTAGCTCCTACGAACATGCCTTAAAGCACTTTTACTCTACTCAACTCACAGAGGTAGACTTTCGAAATGCTTTGATTGAAATCAACTCTTGGGTTCAACAGCACACTAGAGGCAAAATTTCAGCAGTTCTTGACAAGAATCCCAGTCATGCTACAAAAATGATGATGGTTAATGCTGCCTATTTTAGAAGTCGCTGGAAATGGTAAGATGAAAGAAACATTAAGAAACAGAATGATTAATCATATGGTTAAGAGAAGCAGTTTGCTGCTAACTATCATTTTGCATTACAAGAAATGTTATTATTTAGATATGTATTTCATAATTATATTTTTATTAGCTATACATAGACAAACAGGGTTTAATATAGCTGCCAACTCTCTCTGTTTTTCATCACATCTCCCGGTTTTTAATTCTTAGCATTTATTTCGCAGTTACAGACGTTGCTTAAAAACAAAACAGAAAATGTTTGACTATTATTACTAGAAGATATTTGGGCCCACCAGCGGCCAAGCGGTAAAGTCGCTGAACTATGGTAGTTTGCTCCGAGGTTCGAACGGCCTGGCTGCATGGGCGTTTTCGTGGTTTTCCCCATGTGTAACGTGTATACTAGACAGTTTCCCTTAGAAAGTCCTTCATGAAGGCATCCCTCCCCTTAGACAGATAGCCCTAGCGTGCTTTGCCATAATTAAATACACCACACCACTAGAAGATATTTGATGTAGAAACCGGAAATCATATTCAGGGGTCGTACACAAACTGAAGAGGGAAATTTTTGCATCTGTACATAACTAAAAATCAAATATTATTTAGAAAAAGGTTTCTAATGTTAAGAGATTAGGTGACGAGAATATCCATACAGATTATGAAAAATATTTATCAATAACTTTTTTTTTTTTTTCAAAATGAAGATCAGATTCACAGAACTTTATAGATTTCGTGTTGTAGGAAATACTGGCAGACTCAGTATTGATACGTAGCCAACTAGTAATCTTATTTGCATTAATGAAAAAAAACTTGTAGTTTAATAAATTTTAGTACGATTACCAGATTTTAAATTATTAAAACTTCATGAAAGTCTTAATAATGTGTATTTAGACATTGAAAACTTATAAATGACTGGCAAGAAAATTCTTTTGGCGTACCATGTAACAATAAAAGACACTAGAAATTTGCAAAATAATGTACGTGAATGACATTTATGGGAAAAAAATCAACCTCGAATTATTCTAAAATACTTATTAACCGACCTTTCAATCGAAATAATGTCAAATATCGCAAATTTTGAAATTAAATATTGCAGTCAATTTTTGTAATAATGGAATCAAACTTTTCGTTTTATTTTTCATAACGATTGGAAAAATTTTCTAAATATAAGGACCGGAGGAACGTGTAAAATATTATATTTCGTGTTTTATGCAGAACTAATTAAAAAAAATTAAAAACACGAAAACATGAACCTTTGAGTCATTTAACACAATACGGCCAAGGGTTGCGAAATTAGAGTCAGGGTAAACACGGAAAAAGAGAATAAAGAGGTATAAAGAGGTTTGGTTTGGTTTTATTAGATTACGGCAAAGTACTCGAGGGCCATCTGCCTTAAGGGAGGGATGCCTTCGTGGAGGACTTTCTAAGGGAAACTGGCTCGCATACACGTTACACATGGGGAAAACCACCAAAACGCCCATGCAGCCAGCCCGTTCGCGGGATTCGAACCTCAGACCAAACTACCAGTGTTCAGCGATGGAGGTATAAAGATGAAAATGAAGTTAGGGACAGTGCCAATGTTAAACTTAAAGCTCAAACTGAGTTGAATATCTCTCTTATGAAATTCTTCAAGAGAAATGTCTTGCGAAGCACTGGGTTTTGATTTCAAAAGTTCGAAATGGCTACCTTAAGGAAAAATATTCAAAGCCTTTCTACACTGCACTTATCACTCTTGACTATTCCTTGCAGTAATGCTTGAATAACTTGCTGACTTGCATACTGTGCAAAATAAAGACAGAATTTAGATCATCTTTTTCAAACGCAGCTCTGGAAAAAACTGTTAGTCTCATAAGTGTCGAAGATGAAAATTATGATTATCATTTTAAGAAAAGCTACAGCAACAACATTGCAATCTCAGTAAAACTTAGAACACGTAAATCCTTCCCCAATCCTAATGGTTTTCAGCATAACTTTACATATTAATTTTTATTTATAGAAGATATTACTTATTTAGAGTTTTATTGGAATCGCATCGTTGCGCAGCACGAAACCTACCAGTTTATACGCGAAAGTCTCTCAGTTTTTGATATTTTAAGGCTGGTAGCGGTGGTTTTAAATAAAACACGTCAAACTCATGGTCAGACTTCAGCATCACAATCAAATGTTTATTGTTTACAATCTTTTTAGGATGATCTTTCAGATCAGTATAGCAGTATTCATTTAAATTTATATTTTTCAGTATATGATCCTTATTTCATATATTATATCAATACCAGGGGATAGTTAGGAGGACAGCAACATGAGTTTCAGGTGATGTAAAATCGGTGCAAAAGGTTTAAAATTTTAAACCCAGCAAAGTGTCTCTTTCACTGTGAAAGGGAGACGCTAATTTAAAATTTTAATTAGGTATAGTTCAGACTTGGATAACTGCTGGTTTCATAGAAAGTCTCTTTTGAACTTCTAACATAAAATTTTTTAAACTATTAATAATGAGATTAGTATTTACTTTCGAAAGGTATTACTAGATGGTAAACGAGTTGGAAATGAATTTTTTGAAAATAAAAATAATGATTTCTTTATATCGCTTATGTTGTTAGTTTTGTGGAAATGTTTCAGAAAACCCAATGACAGTCTGAGGCTGAATTTTGCTTAATTTACAGCCCACTTTATAAACCGATAATATTATCCTGATGCACTTCATAATTAGCGAGAATTCCTTCACGTTATCAGAGTTGCAGGAGGTAAAAACGTTTAAGCAACATAAGAGAACATCACGAAAATTAAGGTAATCAATTCGAATGTCTACATGATGCTTGAAATATGTTTCACTAAATGGGCACTAAATACGGTCTTTGAAGAAAACACTGATTAAAATAAACTGCTTCACAACATGAAAGTCTAAATAAGAGTCATCCTATTATTTTTATATTTAATTTCAATTTTTCAGTTAATTTCTTTTCAATAACTCTTTCGCTGCGACAAATGTTCAATGACCTTTTGCTATGAATTCTGTTTTTAATAGTTCATTCTTATCTTATATCGAGTTTTGATATTTCAGGGAATTTGATCCAAGGGCAACGGAACCAAGTGGCTACTTCTACTTAACGCCACGCCGTCGTGTTCAAGTTCCAATAATGTCTGGCAAGATGAATGTGGCCATAGGTCATGATATTTCAGTAGGAGCTAGTATTCTCGAACTGCCTTTTACTCCAAGTCGTGTCTCGATGTTTCTAGTCTTGCCTGATAACCCAGAACTTCATTTTCATTTTAATGTTACTTCCATGAAGCTCCTTATAGGTAATTAATCACGATTTTAGATTAGTTTATACAATATGCGAGGAAAATATTAAGAAGCGCTATCAAAATAGTTAATGAAATAAAACTAAAAAATATATATACAAGAAAATTTAAATTCTCAATAATCATGTTTACTTGGTATATTAAAAAGTATTAAAACAAATTAAGAAATATTCGATATATATATATATAATTATGAAAGCGTAATATGCGACTTCAGTGTAAAAGACTTAAAATAACTCAAAATTTTGAACAATGATTGATATCTGTTAAAGGAATTTTACGCGAAATAGTTTATGTGACATTGCAATATAAGAAAGTAATTTCACAAAGGAAGGAGACATGTTAAAAATGCAGTTACTCTAAATTTAGAAAGGAAAATTAATGGTGTTCAAAGTGTATGGATTAAAGGAAGAAGAAAAACACGCCAAAGTAAAACATAAAATAAGACAAAACAACTACCTTGTGTTTGGCATAGATTTTAGTCGACTCTCTCCATTTCAAGGGCAAACAGGTACCGATCCCTCTTCATGGTTGTAGTATTTATAAACAAAAGGAGTAAAGTGAAGGAGAAGGTAGAGTCCTCTGTCCGCAGAAATAGTAAATAAAATTAATTTGATAGAGTTTTAAAGATGAATTTAAAAGGAAAGACTGGATTGGAATTAAAGTCATTAACTGAACAAGAGAAATCTTTGTGAATGCAAAAAGCTTTGAGAAAATCAGACTGGCGGAAGAAGCTTCTTGCGTAATTTTTGCAGACCCAAAGTCTAAATTGTGACTAAATTCCCAATTATGATTAGTTATGGAATACTTGCTAATTTCGCCTTTTCGGACATAAGATACGTTTTCCTTCATTCGAAACTTTAACGCCCATTTACATTGTCTGGTATATCTCAAACCACACTGACAAGATATGGTATAAATTTCCCAAGAATTAAAGCCAGAAATGGAATGTGTAAGAATCGAATTTTGGATTTTACTGATAGGCGAGAAAATGACTTAAAACTGAACTTCTGAGGAATCCTTGCAATTTTGTTAACCTCATAGAAGGATATATCCTGATGAAGAGTGATCTGTACCTCTTTCACCTTGCAATCACATACACACGCATATCGTTCGTGTTCGTGTGTGTTCGTGTGTGTGTGTGTTCGTGTGTGTTCGTGTGTGTTCGTGTGTGTCGTGTGTTCGTGTGTGTTCGTGTGTGTTCGTGTGTGTTCGTGTGTGTTCGTGTGTGTTCGTGTGTGTTCGTGTGTGTGTGTGTGTGTGTTCGTGTGTGTTCGTGTTGGTGTGTGTTCGTGTGTGTTCGTGTGTGTTCGTGTGTGTTCGTGTGTGTTCGTGTGTGTTCGTGTGTGTTCGTGTGTGTTCGTGTGTGTTCGTGTGTGTTCGTGTGTGTTCGTGTGTGTTCGTGTGTGTTCGTGTGTGTTCGTGTGTGTGTGTGTGTGTGTGTGTGTGTCATTTCAGTAAAGTAGAAATAATAGATAAGAATAAAGTGTCAAAAGAAACCATAAAAATCAATAATTAACATCTTCTTTAAAAGCAATGTGAATATTAAATGCCGCTACTAACTCGCATTTAAAGTTTAGTTTGGTCCAACTGATTATGGCAAACCACACGAAGGCTATCTCCCTAACAGGAGGGATGCCTTCGTGGAGGACTTTCTATGGGTAAGTGGCTTGGATACAAGACTGAGATCGATAGCCTTGACTAACATCTTTTTAACACGTTGACTCCCGTGGGAGTCACCTGTGGTCGGCACTCGACTTGGCTACAGCGCCATGGGGCCCACCGGCGACGCAACCAATAGCAAAATTACATAGTAAATATCGATACTGTTAAATATTTAAATACCACTGTTACTATCATGGTTTGAAGAATAATAAATCGCAAAAATGCTCTACAGCGTCCCGAGTCACCGGTGACCCCACCGCATGAAAAATGCATAAACACGATTCTAACTTTTCTGTAGGTATTTCAACATAATGCTCATCGTATAGTAGAAAATTAATGTTAGTGGCATGGACAAACCACGTAAAATGCTCGCGGCAGTCAACGTCTTAAAACAGATAACGAGAAGTTTCAATTTCTAACATAGCATGTATTTTTCCGAAAATACTTAATAGAACTTTAATTCAAAACGGGCAGGTTAAAAGTTTCGAAATAAGGAGTGATGGAAAATACTTAAATCAAGCCTTAATAGTTTCATTATAATGAAAAAATTTAATGTCTCTTGAAATATGTTAATATTTTATGTAATCTGCCCAAATTTTCAGAGTCATATTAATGTAACGTTCTGAACTATTTTAAAATTCCTTGTATAAAGAAATTTATCTTCATATTTCAGGTTCAATGAAGAAACGAGATGTGAATGTTCGGCTTCCCCGTTTCAGTCTTGATCAAATTCCACAGATGACCGATTTACTGTGGAACTTCGGTATTCAAGATATTTTTTCGCCTACCGAAGCGGATTTAGGAGGAATAGCAAAAGGGTTGTTTGTTACGGATGTTATGCAGCGTTCAGTGTTAAAAGTGGACGAGGAGGGTAGTATAGCTAGTGCTGCAACCGTAACTTTAGTAGAAAGAATTGGCAATGTTGATGACCATTACTTTGAAGCAAACAGACCATTTATTTTTATGGTTATGGATAAAAAAACGGGAGCTGTACTTTTCATGGGTCGAGTGGCTAATTTCTAATATATTGAAAGGAAATAAAGCTGGTTTTTTCCCCCCTTGATCACAAAATTCGTAGAACCATGAAAGTAATTTGAATATTTAATAAATGAGTAATGAAGCTGAAATTGAAAAAAATCGATTTGTGCCATATTGTATTGTAATAGAAATTTAAAGGAGTAAAGCAAGATCAGTTTTTGAAACCTGAAGACAACTTCGTTTATTTGGTTTACACTTCCAACACCGTTTAGGATGAGGAGTAAGTTTTCTCAACGAAAAACATACTCATTGTAATTCTTAAAATATGAAACTACAAGCTAGCTAAAAATATAAGAATCTCTATCCTCCTTCCCCGCACAACAAATTTGTATTCCACCTTTCTAAAAATGACGGAAGAGATAAATATCTTTGATCTAGATTTACATTACCAGTCACAATATTCTATGAATGTTACTAAGTGTTCTGCCAGTAGTTATCACAGTGACTTGAAAAATCAACTTGCTGCTAGTATGGATTCATAGGACATAAGTAAATATCAGAACTTTGAGGGAAAATAAACATTGTGAAGAATGGTTAGGCTAGTTGTACAAGCTCAGACTGTCATCCATGTCGCACGTTAAAAGCTACATTGGTCTCGACGGACCGAGCTTAGACCAAGCAAAATGGACTTTGCTTCTTCATGAATTAAACTGGGCACTTAGGATTATAAGATGTTGCTTAATTCAGTACACACAGTATTTATAACAATTTGCCCTCTGTCATTGAGAAAACTGAAGCAATTTGAATACAAATGCGTGTATACAAGGTTAATTCAAGCAGTTTTTATAAATGAGTAGACCCGAGGGCAGAACAATTTCCAATAATTGTGGCAGTTGCTCCCACACTATATATATATACACAACCAAAACCGACGCATTTCTACCCTCCCTTGTAAAAAAAACCCCTGTGAACTGAATTGAGACCTCTGGAAAATGATCCATTAAATTATAGCGCTGCTTAGATGATATCACTTATTTAATAAAAAATGTTAAATTTTTTACCTTCTGCTGTGTGTTTTTCTTCCTTTCTATTATGATTCAGTGTGTACGGTATGTAGTGTTACATTTTTGCGTGCTTGAGGCAAAATTAAAAACTAAACCTTACTTAAATATATATATATCATTTCCGTTAGTTATTTAACTGTGCAGTTTTCTTGTCGCCATTAAGTTTTTAATTACGTTATAAATTGAAATGTCGTTTAAAGGTGGAACTAGATAATCTATTACATATTTGTTTATGAAACTATAGTTCTAGAAGCACCAGTGAAACTTAGAATTACACTTCAAAACAATTCAATTATTCTTTATTTAGTTTCAATTATTTAAAATCCTTCAATTCGGAATCTTTGAACTGGGGCGCTGCATTATACAAGCACTATCAAATTAAATTATTCTGTGCAGAAGAATAAGGCCATCGGTAAAGTAATAAAACATTCAAAGCATATTATCAAGTTTTACAACTTTAAAATAGAGATTTATCCCCAACGTCAGCTATAGGCAATATATATTTTTTTACAATTCCTTCGTAAAACGTCGAGACATAATTACATCTAAAATGCTCTATGATTTTCAATTCTCCTTAGATTTTAGTAGTTCTTAAATTTAATAAATTTAGTACATCTTTAAACACTTTGCAATCAATAACTTCCTACGTGAAAACAATCTTCTGATACACCGCCAATTGAACGATTTCCAAGACTTCAAGTTGATTTTTAAGCCAATAATCCTCAACATTGACCTCTGAAAACAGCAAGTTGCATCTATTTGTATCTGAAAAAAACTGCAGCACTTGAAAGTAAATGTTAGGTTGTTTGAATGTAGCAAAGCATACAACGATCATACACCCAAGAGGAGGGACGCTTTCGTGGGGAACTAACAGAAACTTTCTCGTATTCATTTTATACATGAGGAAAACACAAAAATCAAACATGCAGCCAGCCTATTTCCCTGGACTCGAATCCAGGTCACACTTCCAGTATTTAGCGATTTTAACGCTTGGTGAGACCTAAAAGTAAGTGGAATTAATATGCTGAAGTTCCAGAATACATTTTTTGAAAAATGAATTATGAAATTTGAAAGCACTTCTCTCTTATACCAAAGTTTGAATTGCCAGATATTTTCCAAGGTGGAAACTTTAAGCATGGTTGCTGGTTCATCACTTAGACATGCATACTTAAGATGTATTTTATTAACAAAATTCACGCATGTTTACAGTTGAGCACTGATACAGATGTTCATACAATTTAAATACACTATAATACATTTCATTCTGTATATCTTTGGAAGTTGAACCTGTTTTAGGTTTTAAAAATAATGTACAACTACATATGCATTAAAATATTAAATATAACAGATAAAATTTAGAAATTAAAAATTACATGTGAGTAACAAACAAGAGAACTTCAAGAAACCAAAACAGTAACATTGAAGATTAAAGGAAATCATAGTTTAAAAAGTAGTTCTTGTAAGTGTTAAAGTAGAAATCTTGAACATTAACAGACCAAATTGCACTTTCAATATACTTGTCAAACCGAGATATTACTCGTAACAAGGAACAGGTTGCACAAAGTTTAAGATGAAACTCTGGGCTGTAATTAATGGAGAGCTCAGATGGCAAGAATACTAAAGACAGATTTCTCCCTTTAAAAAGGTTTACATCTGAAAACCGCTGGTAATGAACTGAGAAGAGTAAAAAACTAGTTAATATGTAAACTCTCTTCCATGATGAATGTCAGTTACATGTTCAATAAGTAATGATGAAGCAGTATCACGTAGATTTCGAGCTACTTTTTGGTTCTGCAGTGTACATTTCTTCAATTGAATTCTTGTAGAACTGCTCAATCATTTTCCTACGAATTTTGAATGCAGCCGTTACAAGTCCAGTTTCTGGTTGCCATTCTTCAGAGACCAACTTAACTTTTGTAGGAATTTCAGTTCGCATGAGTTTACCTGGATTTGAAAATAAAAACGTTACATGAGTTACTACAGTTATTATGCATAGTATTTGTTACAACTAGACGATTTCAGCAATTAGAACAAAGCGATCATTCAAGCAATATTAGATAATAAAACACTGGTTCACGACTGCAAAAAGTGAACGAGTGAACATTTTAAGTATTTTGAAAACTTAAGCTTCATTACAAATTAATCTCCAAACTGGAAAATCGCATCCAAATACTTCGAACGGGCATTTTGTGCATGTTAAAGTGATCTTTATGGTTATATAAAGTTACGTACAAGAGGATTACTTAATGCTCACAGGAAAAAAAATTGCTGAAAATCAGAAAGAGATTCTTTTGCCAACAAAATTAAATCTCCATTAAACACATCTGGATATATATCACGTTTTAACAGGTACATTAAGACTTGAATCATATTTCAAGTTTTAAGAAATTACGCAGGCTGTCAAATTTGATAACTATATAATTCAGATTCCGATTTCATACCGTTTAAATGTATGAAAATTATCCCACTTAAAAGTAACCTCGTGCTAATACGCGAGTTCTTCAGATTTATACTTACTTTTTTGACCTTGCTCCGTAATTGCTTTAGAAACGATGGAAATTACAGATGGATCTTGACACAATTCATGAATAGACAATTCCTGTTTTCCCAAAGAGACAGCGAGATTCCTTAATTGCTGAATATTAGGCACAACAAGAGCTACGAGATAATCATGCAAACCGTTTCCAACGACGCAAATGTTGTCAACTAATGGACAAGTTTTCAACTCTGCTTCCACTTTTCCCAGAGAAATATATTCACCGTATTGCAGCTTTACAAGATCTTTTTTCCTGTCTGAAAGAAGAAATATGCTAACATTAAAATTCGATATGCTGGAGGAAACTACTTAATTAGAAGTTAAGCTAGAAATAAAAATTTAAATTAGGATATTTAAGATTTTATAAAGCTTTAAGAAAAGGTTGTTGCAGATTTTTTTCACTAAATATTGATCCTAAACATACAAAAGGTTTCCCAAAAAAGCATAGAAAATTTTATGAAAGTTGTTCTTGTTCTCGGCGAGAGGGTTCTATAGTTATAAAATCTGATCCTGTTCATAAACTAAACAAGTTTGCCCAAATTTGAGATTTACGAAATTAATGCCAGCTACTAATTTAATGAATGCTGTTTTACCGAAAATGCGATCATAAATCATTAAAAAATGCTACTTACTTTAGCTGTTCCATATTCATCTTCAAAAATGTATAATAATTTGGTTTGGTTCATCTGATTATGGCAAAGCACTCGACAGCTACATGCCTAATGGGAGAAATGGCTTCGAGAAGGACATTTTAAGGGAAACTGTCTCGTATACGGGTTACACTTGGGGAAGAACACGAAAACGCCCGTGCGACCAGCCCGTTCACCGGGATTCGAGCCCCGGACCGAACTACCAGCGTCCAATGACATTACCGCTTGGCGGGCCAAAAATTTAAATTGGTAGAAACGAGGGGAAAACGATTTAGCTCGATCAATTCAGTTTTCAGGATTTGATACTTTTCTTGTAAATGTATGAAGCATTGTAAGTAATCTTACTAACTGGTATTTTTAGTTTCCAAGGACCACATAAGAAATCGGATTTCACAATTTCAGTAGTTTCTCACCCAAAGTATTGACATACTTTTCCTAAAATTCTCTGCCTGATTTTGGAAACGTCACTGGAATTACGGGTGTAAGATCAATATTTAAGCAAATAAAACCTTGAAATCAAAAGAGAAATAAATGCAAAATTAGACAAGAAAGCAACTCTAGTTTAGCATAGATTTTGAATGCACAATCAGACAGATCTCACAAAGGCTTTTTTCCCTCGCAAGAGGAAAGCGACAAAGTTTTACCCCTGAAGACAGGCTTGCTTTAATCACCGATTGATAATGCACTCCAAAATAAGGCTGCTTTTGTGTTCAATTTTAAATAAAACTTTTTCTTCAAACACTCTGTATAAGAATTAACATATTAAGGCAGCACAGAATGTTGGCCCAGACATTCATTTATACAGAGTTCGGAAACGCCAAACATTTGAGCAGGTACTACATGCGTTCAGGTACTTTTCCACTTACAAAATATTGAAAAATAACTATTTGTGGAAAAGTCTAAATATTACACAAGCATCAGTGGTAAAAGCAAGTTACATAAAGATAGCCATGGAATCATGAGTGATCATTCAACGTAATGAGGGAAGTACAAAGGAATAATTTAGCAAAGTGTAAAATTTTCACATAGTGCTTGCTTGAGAACGAAAAGTGATAGTTAAGACATGGGCTGCAGGAAGTTGAGATTAGACCTGAAGCGATTGTGGTTAAGTCTAGTAGTTTTTAAAACTTCAAACTTATAATACAAAAAATCATCAATATGCTCCTTGAAGCAGGAACTGAAGCTTTTTTTAAATCAAGAGAAATTAAAAATCTAGAAATAGTTACCTATGATTTTGAAAGTTCCATCGGGATACATCTCTCCAATGTCTCCAGTATAAAACCATTTAACGCCATCCTCTTCTTTAAAACTCTCTTTTGTCAAAGAATCATTTTTGAAGTACCCTAGAGCAACACAGTCTCCACCAATAACGATTTCTCCTCTTGGATATGGTTTGTCAGTTGCATGATAATTTCCTAAGAAAGAATGGATATTTAAATGGTAGTGAAGAACTATTTTCCGTAAATAATTTATACATTACTTATATTAAGAGGATTTTTTAAATTGAGGGGAGCTATTTTATTAAATCTGGTTATAGTATTTGAAACGTAATTCAGCACAATCAAAAATCATTGCTCATCATTCATTTGCTCATACAAAATTAAAATTATCCAACTTTCACTTTTTATGAAGTTTTGATTTTATAATTATTCTCAGTGGACTTAATCCTAGATTAAGAAAAAATTCATTTTCTAATATAATAAACGGCTACAGTGATAAATAATCCCAGTTTTACGATTTTAAATTTGTCAGTTTGGTCATATATTACATGGAAGAATTTAGATTTCAGCTCAACTTACACTGTAATCTGAAATTAAAGGATAAATAGGGAAACTGTATTTACCAGACAATCTATTACAAACTTATGAAAGTAAATGTGGACACTAATCTGAAAAACAACAAATATGGAAACATACTTGCTGCTGTATTAACGCAAGAAATATGCAGAAGGAATGCTAAACAGTATGTTAACGATGGTGACAGCTTTGTGAAATGAAAACTGATCAGTCTTAGTCTGATGTCTCAGACAGCTAAATTTTTCCCCGAGACATCTGCTATAATATATGGAGATGACTTCACAACACTGTAAAAACTAACCGTCGGAATTGATGAGCTCTTCGAAAGACAAATACCGCACAGGAAGATAACTACCTTACTATTATTGCTCCGACTGGCTAAGTAAGGTAACTAAAGGTCAAACATGATTGGCATGTCTTGGGACACTAAATGATAGAACGCTAGTCTCCTCCACTTTGTCTCCACGAACTTAAACTAGCTCCTAGAAACAGCAGCATTAATTCCATAAGACTGAAGTTATTCTAAATCCATAGAAAAATATCTCTGCCTGTACATCTGCTTGCGGTGATCACAACAGACAACTATTTTTACCCAGATTGATAAAGATACCTTTGATTTTTCCTTCATTTAATCACGTACGCATTTCTTTTGTAAACGTTTTTGCGTGCAATTCTGTGGCATGCATGCTGTCCATCATGTCCAAGAGTATAAAAAAATGTAGAGAATTATTTTCTGTATAGAACACTATTTTACAAGTTATCCTATAATTTTGAACATCAGTATAAAAAAGCAGCACTAACTGAAAATTAGCAAAATGGATAAATTCTGATAACTTCTTACGTAAGCTCAAATTAAGTACCTTCAGTCCAGTCAACAAGCTTGATGTAACAGTTGCTCAAAGGTGCTCCCACTCGGCCGGTACTGCAGTCTGCCACTGAAATGATAGGAGATTACAAATTTTCCATTCACATATTATTAAAAGGATTGTACAAATATTGAAGACATTACACATTTTCGAGACTTGGGAAGAATCTTTTCAATTATTTAAAATGGCAGAATGCAAACAGAATATGCTGCTAGAGACAACATAAGTTTATAAATCATTTTAAAACCAGTTACCAAAATAATATGAAGATTGCGTAAATACACTGGAAGAGTACTTCATAAGAGACTGACAAATTAAAGCTAATTTGAAAATGCAAATTAAAGGGACTTTTCATAACTTGACAGTTAACTAGAATCTGGCGCTTATGTAACAGAATATTAATGAAGCTCATATCACTCTTGTTAATTTTCAAACATCAACAGGGAGGGCAAAGTATCTAAATCATCATGTATCTATAGATAAGATGGCATGCAGCCATTGTTGCGGATATATTACTGTTGCCTTTATCAGCACTGTTGCCACTTGGAAAAATGAGGGTGATAATTCTATGCAGTTTTTGGATTTAATGTTTCTCTTGGATACTGAACGTTTGTCCAGAGAAAGCAGCAGGAAGTTGGTTAATTTATTAAGATAATATTTGTATTAAGGGATATTGTTTATTTCATTGCAATTTTTTTATATGAAATACGTTTTTACTGAAATTCTTTTATATATGTAGTTCTGTGCAGTTTCCAAATTTAATGTTTATTCCCTTTAGGCATTTCCCCGAGACATTTAAAAGCCAGACGGAGGCTGCCGCATAGCAGCTAGTATCGTATCTCTGCGACCAGCCTGAAAACACTCAACTACAAATAGTTCAGCGTTAGTTTAATATGCAGGACACATTACAGTCACTGCACCTCTCCCTATTTCAATGAATTTATTTCCTTATTGTTATATCTACTCATGCAAAGTTTTTAAAGTAAGCTTAAGACATAAAATGCAAAATCCATAACAAACTTCTACCGAATTTTAAACGATTAAAAATGTAACTTGGTAGGAATAAAGCTAGATATATAAAATAAAAATAGATTAAGAATTCTGAGGGATGAAATTTGAGAACTAGGCTATCTTCGAGGATCACATATTATAAAAGAAGTGAATAGCCGTACTATCTTATAAACAGTAAAACCGTACGATTTTAAACAGGAAATCTCGTCTGTACAAGCTGTGTGTAAGTTTATTGAAGACAGTTCAATACTATTGAATTCGGTTCAGTCTCCTATTCTTCAATACATTACGTCTATATAAAGTAACTAACAAATACTCATTGGAAGTTATTTTGGGGAAAAATTGAAAATTTAAGCAAGAAAACGAACGTTTTATTCTAATTTAATAAATTATGAAAAAGTTTTTAAATATTAGTTATTTTTTTAAAATTATTTGAAACAATTAAAATTATGAAAAATGACGTTTTCAAAATTTTGATTTTTTCAAATAATTTTTGATAATTTTATTCAGTTCAGTAGTTATCTACACTGCGTAAGAGTACGACTTACTCTAGCCTCAGTTTCGAGGCTGGTACAGAAAACTTTTCTTCGCACTAAAATATAAAAATAACAAATAATAATATAATAATCTAAATTATTAGATTTATCTACAGTAGACAGTTTCGTAACAGTCATTTGAAGGACTATAAGCATTGTTGAAAGATGAAGTGAAATTTCCCAAGCTTCTATTTTACACTTTGCATATATCGACTTTCAAGATACAATGCGATGATAATTAAGGAAGCAGTAGGTCATATGCTACGAAGGAAATAATTCAAATCATATTCTCAAATGCTCTTTCTGGCCCTGACTGAAAAGCATTCCTAATAACACAGTATTTAGTGTGTAGACACATCGGGTATTTGTGGAGGCAGACAAGATGAACAATGAACAACGACTTCGCCGGGAATCGGACCGCGGACCTCTGGAATACACGCTCAGACTGGAGACCACCACACCACGAAGGCATACTAGGAAGGCGGGAGAAATACCTTATAAGCGTTTTCCATAAAAAATTGATAAAGAAATTTAAGACCTTCAAAACCAACCTAAACTTCAATATCAGAATTCTGAACTATAAGATAAAATTTTTAAAAATTTCATTACAAGCAGTGTGTCAGTTACTTCACTTTTCTCATTACAGAGATCGTAAAACTCATAAGAGTATATAACTTCTTTTATTGTTTTGTTACGCCGATTTTAGAGAGTAACAATGTAACAAGTGATTTCAATTATTGAATTTCAGTAACAAGTCTCAAAGGATTCTTTTTAAGTTCGTTCTCGACTGGAGCTTATTAACTTATTTTTATTTCACCAAATGGAAAGCTTGGTTAGATTACTCGGATATGGCAGAGAACGCAAGTGTTATTTGCCTAAGGGAAGGGATGCCTTCGCGAATGACTGAGGAAAACTGGCTCGTACTCACGTTACACATTAAGAAAACCCACGAAAACTAAATATGCAGCCAACCAGTTCACCTGGCATCAAACTTAGATTAGCGGTCTTAACCCCACGCCCACTATTATGCTATTCATTAATAACGAAAACTTTTCAAACAATACAATGTTACAGTATGCATGCTGAATTTGAACGTCAATTCGGCAAAGGATTAACGAACCAGAATGTAATTACGCAATCTTAAAAACTTACTAAAATTTGTGCTATCTTCTAAACAGTGAGTATTTATAGAACATACTAATACATGAAACATACAAGACATGATTGTAGCACTTGCAGCCGTTTCCGTCATTCCGTACGCTTGGATCATCTTCACATCTAAACAGAGACGTATGAAATCATGGGTATCGGGTGAAAGCGGCGCTCCTCCGCAAGCTATTATCCGAACGTTACCTCCAACCATATCTTTGATTTTCTTGAAAACTAACCTATAATGAAATTTAAATCTGGTTTATAAAATGCAGATAATGTTAAAAATTATTTTTATCATGTTCGAACTAATATACGCCATTTCAGAAAAAAATCGGATGTAAAATTAAAATCACAAAAATTTAACAGCATTTTAGCAAAGTAAATTAAATTTGTTTGAACTAATAAACTAAAATTGTATTTAATTTTTTTAAGAATTCCTATCATTCACTTGACCTATCATCACTACTCCACGTACCCCAACTTCACATGTATATATATATATATACACAAATATTTACATATAGAGGAATATCACTTCAACAGAGGCAATTGTATTTTTACCAGTTATGCGAAAATGGTGTACATTGGTAGCATACATTTAAATTTAGAAAAAATATAAGCACTTTTATAATGGGAAGCTTGAGGCTGTTTGGCAGCAGTCATTAATTTAATATCCAGATCGAAAGATGGCGAATATAGTCTCGAGTTCAGAAACTTCAGGTTTGTTTTTTTTCAATACATAGGTTCCATAATACTACTTTATTAATGAAGATATTTTCTGGGTAACTTAAAACACGGTTACTGCAACAGCAAATTCTAAAATGAGAAATTTAGCTCGAGCCATTTCGAAAAAATATTGGGCATGCAGCCCTAAATTAAAGTCAAACACTGACTTCCTGTCTAAGATCGAACAAATGTGTAATAATTTTACACAGAGACAACCAGCAAATCTCAGTATAAAGAAGTCGAGTTTTCTGAATCCTGCCTATTTCTTTACACAATGATGAGAATAGCCTTCATTTCGTACGGTGGGATTTAACGAAACTGACCTTTACAGAATCATCCAAAGCATCCGACTTACCTCACTTCTTCGACAGCTACAACAGAATAAACCCATGAAATTCATCATGGCAAGGAGAATAACATTGCGCCTGTCGTTGGTTAGAGCACTGAGCACCATGCAGGTGACAGTAAGACTTCCTATCAGAATTGGCCGAATTCTGCCCCAATTCTGATAGGAAGCACCCCATGGGGGGCGAGTCCGATGTTTTCTCCCTCTTTTCCCTACCATTAACATCTCGAGAAGACGTTCGGCGCGCTAGGTACTTAGAGTGCCCCCATGCCGAAAAGATACTATACCTTTGCGAACATCCATGCCTCTTCTGGGATTCGAACCAGAGTCATCCGGTATAGCAGTAGGCTTTCACTGATGGCTCTAAAACTCCAGGGGGGCACGGGAAGCGGATTCTGTATACTTTCTGGAGGAGCTTTAAGGGGACTCATACATCTTAAAACCCATAAAATGTTCGAATAGGTGACTGTTGCAAGAATTGAGATAACTTATTTATTTTAAAAGCAATTACTACCAACTTTTTACAGCTGACTGCACAATATAGCTGCTTTCTGAAATATTAATCAGAAAGTGTGTTGCCACAAATATTTTTATAATTTAATCAGTTTTGTGATAACATTTTTCGTCATGTTTCCAACTTGCGCGCACAGTTTAAAACATTCTGTTTCATAATATAATTCCATATTTAATATATAGCTTTTATAACATTTGGAAACTATTGTGAACCTAAAATTCTAAAAATTTCATGTTAAAATTTTTTATTTTATTTTGAGTTGAGTTTATAAAATGTATTTTATTTTAAAAAAGTTCTTTAATGTTTTCGTCCATAAAACTTTTTAAGTATTAAAATATTCATCAGATTGTTGGTTTCAGTTAGAAAATAATGCCCATATAAAGAATTCCATCAATTTTCAAGTATGTACCATTAGCCATTTTTAAAATATCATGCGCGCAAGGTGGAAACATGGCGAAATATTTTGTCACAAAGAGGATTAAATTACAAAAATATTTGTGGCAACACAAACTTTCTGGTTACTAGTTTCCAAAGCAGCTATATTATGTAGTCAGCTGTAAAAAGTTGGAAGTAATTGCTTTTAAAATAAATAAAATATCCCAATTCTCGCAACAGTCACATATTCGAAGATCATGAGGGGTTTAAGGTATATGAGTTCCCTTAACGTATGAGTGGAAAAGAAAGCTTGCTTCTGAAAACACTCTGTCTTTCAGGCGGAGCTCATAGCAATCAGAGCAGCTCTTCTCCACCTGAAGAATAATCCCACAGTGCCCAATATCATCTACACAGACTCAGCCTCAAGCCTCGCTGCGATAGCTGGAATTCGTTCTCGCAGTCCTATCGTCAGCAGCATTAGAGACATTCTAACACACCACACATGCCTGCTTCGCAAAGACCCTCACTCATCTGGGTGCCCGCTCATACGGAAATAGAAGGAAATGAGAGCAGATGTTGTCGCAAAGGAAGCAGCGGATTCATCCACTTTGCGAGAAGTCCCGACCCTTAGGCCAGTCTCGGACCTAAAGAATCGGATATTTCATCAGCTCTCAAGAATATGGCAAGAACGTTGGGATCAAGCCTCCACAGGGAGAAGTGTTTACAATCTCATTCCCAAGGTCAAGACAACAATCGAAACTAATATCAATTACATGACGTATTTCCTTACTGGTCATGGGCCCTTTCCTTCATACCTCTGCCGCTTTGACTTGAGAGAGAATGGTAACTGAATGTGGGGAGGAGGCTCATCCAGATCATTTTGTGTTCTCCTGCCCACACACAGCTCTTAACAGCCTCAAGCAACCAGGAGCCAGATTCTGGCCAAATTGGTTCCAGAATCTACAAAGTAACAGAGTTGCCCAGCGGAAACTGAAAACAATAATTGACTACTGTACTAGCAATTACTCTTCAGACGCTGGAAGATAGTCATAAAAGTCTATATAAGCTAGTTCAATAATGTCAGCAACAGAGTATGCGATATGTATGTTCAATATGTAATTTTGTATTTATGCTGTGCCAAGTTCTCATACATAAAGTTCATACTGTATCTGAATGCTGTAATATATTTGTACATGTTTATATGTTTTATTTATGGTACCTAATTTATACTAAGGATCACGCGTACCTCAATGGCATGCTTCTTGTAAACTAACTATTACGATAACGTACATGTATGGGTGTATATATCAATATGAGTGAGTATGTATACTTTTGTTTCGGAATAACTATGTATGTAAGTGTGTACTATCTGTATGAGAGTTTGTATTTATATATATTTTGATTATACTCTTCAAGTGCCTTGTATGCACATGTATATATTTCTTTGTACATTGCTGTACTCTTCTTCAAGTGCCTTGTATGCATATGTATATCTCTCTTTTGCATTTTATAAATGTCGTTTGCTCAGCCGGGGCTGCCCAGGGCTGCGGCCTGGTAGCTAGTGTTTGACTCCCACCGAGTTGGTAACCAATTCTGCATGGATATATCTATACCTGGAAGCCAACTCAGCGGTTTACCTTCCCTAACCAATGACCCTCCTTCCCACATTCACAGTTACCATTCTCTCTCAAGCTAAAGCGGCAGAGGTATGAAGGGAAGGGCCCATGACCAGTGAGGAAATACGTCATGTAATTGCTATTAGTTTGGATTGCTGTCTTGACCTTGGGAATGAGATTGTATACACGTCTCCCTGTGGAGGCTGGATCCCAACATTCTTGCCATATTCTTAGGAGCTGATGGAATGTCCGACTCTTTAGGTCAGAGACTGTCCTAAGGGTCGGGACTTCTCGCAAAGTGGATGAATCCGTTGCTTCCTTTGCGACAACATTTACTCTCTCATTTCCTTCTATTCCCGTATGAGCGGGCACCCAGATGAGTGAGGGTCTTTACGAAGCAGGCGTGTGGGTTAGAATGTCTCTAATGCTGCCGACGATAGGGCTGCGAGAACGAATTCGAGCTATCGCAGCGTGTGTGTGTGTGTGTGTGTGTGTGTGTGTGTGTGTGTGTGTGTGTGTGTGTGTGTGTGTGTGTGTGTGATTATGGCAAAGCCTCGAGGGCTATCTGCCTAAGGGAAGGGATGCCTTCGTGGAGGACTTTCTAAGGGAAACTGGCTCGTATACACGTTACACATGGGGAAAACCACGAAAACGCCCATGCAGCCAGCCCGTTCGCGGGATTTGAACATCGAACCGAACTACCAGTGTTTAGCAACTTTACCGCTTGGCAGCTGGTGGGCCTCCAGCTATCGCGCTCATTTTTACTTTCGAGCAAACTCTTAAAAAAGCTAAATTTTTGCTTTTCAAATCAGGTATCTCCGCAAACAATACATTAAAATCTAGGTATCAATAATTACGAAAGGAAATCCGTGCGATAAATAGACACATTTCTTTACTATATTTACTTACATTTCTCGGTTGCGATATTGGACCCGGATGTTTCATTTCACTAATATGCAGCAACTTCTTAAGTTGTCGTGGCAAGAACTGGTACTCAATAACGAAATAGGATCATTTATTAATTCAGTAATATTTTCCCTTAACGGTACCAAATTTTAACCACTCCTCCATGTTAAAAAACACGTGTCACAATCATGGAACTATGCCACTAGTCTCTTTGAAATTAAGCTAGATTCAATTAAAACATGATAAAGAGCGATACGGCAGTGTTGTCCTCCTTATTCAAGCTTTTTATAGTACGACCGCTAAATTGTGGTATATTCTACAAAATTATAGTAATATTGGATATTCTGTGGTATAATAATTGAAAAACAAATTTAATTTTCATTTTATTTATACAATTTAAGTTATTTAACCGTATCCTTCCAAAGCAATTTTTCATGAAGTATGAACGTCTTCAAATGATTGTGGATTTATTTTCTAAAATTTTTTCGTAAATTTGTGAAAAGTACACATATACTCGGATCTGATCGACTACTTTCTAAAAATGTTTTTGATCACACAGTAAAAATATAAACTTCACATGATATTCAATATTCTTTGAAGTTTATACTTACATATAAACAAAATCTTCAAAATAAGACCAGAATCGTTAATAAATTAAGAGTTATGTATTCAACTTGTAGTTTACTTGAAACTGATCTAGTGAATCACCTTACCCATTCCTAAGATATATTTTAGTGAATCCTTTTACTAACTCACAAGTAGCTGCACTGTACATCACTTCGACTAATGATTGTTTGGTGGTAAGAGTAGTTTCTCAAATTTTATAGCAATAGTTTAGAGTAGGCTGTATGTTATTGAAATTGTAAACATTGAGTTTTCATAGAGGTAATATAAAATTATAGTACAAGTACGTATTATATCCACTCCAAAATTTTATAGTACGCAACGTTTTAATTAGCATACCAACCCGACGACCAACACTCTGATTACCACAGATTCACAGAAATTCACAGAATTCTGATTCACAGAAATAAAATCTGATTACAGAAAACAATGCCGAATTGCCTCCCCGCTTTGTCTAGGATTACTGAAGAACACATTTTCAGGTATCGGCCTGTGGCCACCTTCGACAGGTTCTGGAAGTAAAGTATACATCTAAACCGAGTTTAAAATAGTATTCATATTTTTCCAAATTAAAATTACTTCGGATTCAATCTAATTGATTTTTCATAATTAAATAATATGGATTGAAATTACCAGTTGTTACAACTTTATCTTTCCTCATATGTTCAATCTATCAATGTCCACCACTATCTGTATCTTTTTACCCACTTACCCCTCGGGGTATTCATATTACAGGTTGAGAAAACTGTTCTAGAATATATGCTGAATTGTAATTCAGAAAAAACGAAGTGCTTAGCAAACCTACATTTTTTCTGTGCCAATGAATTTCAGTCCTACATTTATTAGATTAAGTGATAAGAATTTGAAATCCTGTATCGAAACCGGGGTTTTAATACGGAAAATCCGAAAATTTTCAGCGACTTTCTTTTACAATTAAAAATTATTAGAGAATTGGTAATCTTGCATTCTGGTTATAATTACTTAAACAATGGAGAAAAGTAAGGTTAATTCACAATAATATATTTCTTAAAAGGAAACTCCAAACCTGTTTAAAATAGGTGTATTAAAGCCTTTCTTGTACCAGAATTTTTTGTACTGCATAGCAAATTTGAAAAACTCCTTCGCGAACGGACCTTTACTATTGGTAACTTCAGTTACACCTTTCCTAATTCTGTCCAGCATCAACTAGAGAGAGAAGAGACATCAGGCATTTAAAAGCTGTATTAGGTTAAGCATGTCTAATAGTAAATAATATTCTATACCTACAGGAACTGCAGTCAGAATTGTAGGTTTCAGAAGAGATGCATCACCTTTGCAGCCAGGCATAATTGCAGTCGACTGAAAGAATAAAGAAATCAATTACCAATCACTTATTTCTAATTTTGAGATAAATTTCATTTAATTTTGGAAAAGAAAAACATACTTGAGCCTAAAATTATTACCCTGTACGTATAATCTTGCATAACACATTAAGGTTTGGCTTCTTAACAGATTTCCAAGTACTGGTATTGTAAAGTGGTACAAAGAAAGTAATACAGATTATGAGAAGTCACTTGTAACTGACTGAAGCATTTCCCCTAACCCCATATTAAAGTCATTAAGGCCATGGAAATGCTGATAACATTTTCATAATAAAGTTCTATGCAGAATAAACTGCAGTAGTTCCAATAACTTTTCATAGTTAAGTTCTAGATCACAGTATCTTCATGTTAGATCTTAAGATGTATGTAGTGGACAGTTTTGTCACGAAGAAACGGAACATTATCTCAAAACGCTTCCTATCATTACTTCGGAGCCAACAAAAAAAAAAAAAAAAAAAAAAGTAGCAAGTATTGAATGTCTCCTTTTTTTTCCCCCACAACTAAATGAAATAATTAAGATATAGAAAAAATTCCTTCAGTTAATATATTATTTGTATATATATTCATAATTTCAGAAATAAAATCATTTAAAATCTGATTAATCTTTACGAATCTAATATTTTAAGAGGCAAATTAGTATATAAAAGTAATAACTGAAGATGCATATGATGGTAAAGCTTGTATAAGAGTAGGAAATTGTGGGATTCATGGACGTTATTTCATACTGTTTATAATATTTATACAATTATGAAACTGAACAGCTCGTAAATAATTAATAATTTTAAATATGCAGAGGTAATTATTTTTCTCTTACGTTCACCCTACTCCGTATATACGCTGTAAGCTCGTTTGAGGATTTAAATTTTCACTAGCTGGTGTGATCTTACTTTTTTTTTTCCAGTTCAGCCATATTGGCAATGTGCTTGGTTATTAAGTTTAGACAAGTATTCGAGGGTTATCTTACGTTCGAATTAGTTCCGACAATCCTTGGATAATAGGGCTTGAGGATTTCTCCCACACTCTCCTACCATACTTATAGAGAGACCTACGTAGATTTTAAATGGCATGTCTCAAAAACTCCCATTCGCAAACCTCCATGCCTTACAAGAGATTTGAACCCATAAACAACGGCATTAGACCTCTGGCCTCAATAAGCCGGAGTGGCCTAACGTCATCGGGAGAGGCAGCTACAAGCGCACATGTCCACTCCCCAGATAAAAATTTTGAATAGATATAGTTCCTATGCCTGAATTAAAAGGTGCCAGAGCAGTTTGAAATTGTTGATAACTCAACTTCTAAAAAGAATAGTCTGTCGATAATTTATCGATCACTTAAAGGTACTGTATACTAGCGACAGATTATAAACAAGTATTTAGTTTGATCTTTGAAGATATCTCATGTTATGTATGCAAGTTTCATGATTAGACTGCTTATCGAACAAAATTCTCAAAGGCTACCTGCTTAGGATAGATTTAAGAGATTCCTTCGTGGAGGACTTTTAAAGGACTCATTCAGGCTGCACATAGGGCCATAAAAGCACCGTACAGCCACAGGCCTTTAAGTAATGGGTAAACATGGTATTTTTATCAGGGACTGCACAAAAATGGCAAAGTAGTAAATAAAAATGGCAAAGTAGTAAATAAAAATGGCAAAGTAGTAAATAAAAATGGCAAAGTAGTAAATAAAAATGGCAAAGTAGTAAATAAGCTTCACATCTCGGGACTGATTTTATAATTGTCTATTCAAAGTTTATCTTTAAGTGCAAATGTTAATAATGAAGAAGCAAAGATTTGGAATAATAATAGAAATTAACAGTGCAGAGAAGAGCGTATTAAACAAATTATGTAATTGATAAATACACTCGTGGTGAGGAAGCGTAAGTAAAAAGCTGACTAATGTAGAAGACCAACATACTGTTTTCTATCATACTATTACACAGAAATGGTCAAGTTCCAAAGTGTGTAGAAATTACTTCCTGATTAAGAAATAGACGAGGCAGAAAATATGGAGACAAAGCTCTGAAGGTTTTATTTAAGTAAAAAATAGATCTATTTAACAGAGCGACGAAAAGATGCAACAAATGCACTAAATTAATGTTTTCCTATGAATATCATTTGTCATTTCATTCCATAAAAATAGCAGAAATAATTATTACCTTTTAACAAAATGAAAACTCACCAATTACACTATTTTATCGAAATTAAGGACCAAATATTCTTTCTATGTCATCCCCTTCCTCTAAAGTAACAAAAAAAAATAATGGTAGGTAGTAACTATTACAGAATCAGAACTCTGATAATATTCATATGCATAAACGCTGCGGTTTCGTGAAACTGTCGGATCACCTTGCATATGAAAGTCTACCTGTTTCACTAAAAGTTTCCATTTGGCTGAATATGGATCTGTCGCCCCCTTCCGATGGCAAGTTCCTTAAACATTGATCTTAAAAAATTTACAGCGTTATTCCATCAAGGGCCGGCTTTTAAACCGCACATTTGAATCCATTGCTAACAAGTATGCAGATATTTTTGAAACTTACAAAGATTATTCTACTATAAAATTAAGAAATATTCGTAGGAAGTGCGTAAAAATATTTTACCTTATCTGTCATAGTATGAGGTGATGAATATCCAAATGGAACCCCCATAACAAAGAAGAAACATTCTAGAAAGATTAATAAATATTTGTAATTTGAAAAACAAACAGTTTGACAATATTAACAACTTGCAAAAGAACGTACCAGCTGCTATTTCAAATGCATGAGCTAATGGTAAATAGCCTATGTACATATCATCAGGCCTAGAAAACGAAAACAGACAGGTTATGACAAAAAAAGAATAAGATCTTGCTTATATTTTGAAAAGATAAACTAGTAATTTAATTATAGCTTAAACAAATGGATTAAACAGTTTAACTATAATTTATTTTCGTGCTCTATATAAACTGGCATAAGTGAGAAAATTTATAGAATATCATCTATATCCAAGTACTAAATCCTAAACTTAAAATCATACTCAAGAACAGGAATGCAATCCAAAAGCCCTGTAGCGGTGGTGACCATGTTCTTGTGAGTCAACATCACACCTAAGAAATTTAAATCATGACATTAACGTCCTACGTAATCAAATTACTCTTGTAGAAACTCAAATTTTCAGAAAAATAAAAATTCCGAACTCTGCAGATAAATTTTGGATCTTAAAATTTAAAAAATACTTTAATAAATAGCAATGATGTTCATACTAACCTTTGGGTATACCTGTCGATCCACTAGTGTACATAATTACAGCTAGGTCATTTGGAGTGGGTGGATCAGGCTTCGAAACTAGTAAAAATATTCAATATATTAACCGAATCTATTTCATATCTTATAATAAGATAAGGTTCTATGCAGTACCAAAATGTAAGCAAAGTAATGTGAAGACAGATTAGAATGAAATACATATTCATAACGTGTAGATTTACACTAGTTTTGACTAAACAAGATGGATACTTAATACTAAATTCATTTTTCAATTACATTCAAATTTCAGAAAGTAGATATTACTAGGACAAGAATTAGTTAACACGTTAACTGTTCAAGTTAAATTTTGAGGACTTGACGTTAAACTTAGTTTAATTACTTGTACACCTCACTGCATTATCACAAGCATACCTTAGCCTATTTAATTTATTTTTAAATGAGTTTGAAATTATATAAATAGAATGTAATTAATAAGCTGTGATTAATCTCATGAATAGCGATTTTTAAAGCAACTGAAAAGAACTGATATTACATTTCCATCTGCAGACTCTAGGATGTCCCGAAGCTTTTCGTCTTTTGATTTAAAAAAATTTTGAATAAAATTCTTTAAATGCATTTAAATTCTCATGTTATTAAAGACATCTAATCTGAGGTCTTCCTTAATAAGAACGATGCATAAAATGTTTAACGGAATTAAAATTAGGTTTGCTTCAGATATTTCAAAACTATGTGCTATGCCTGAAAGGTCTAATATTTATGAAAAATAAGACAGCGAAACCATTTCTTTGAGCAATACAAAGATTAATTTTCTCTCAAACCAACATGCGGTAATGAGCCATAAAAATTCAAGAACATCTAAGAATTTTACATACACGGATAAGTACTTACTTGGATCGCAAGTAGCTCCCATTTTTTCTAGTTGAGAAAATGAGATGACTGAAACTTTTTCTGAAAATCCAGATGTGTCCACAGGTCTGACATTTTCCATATACACAACGTGGGTTATAGCTGGTGTTTTACCTAATATTTTCTGCAAAACGTCGGAATTTCTTTTTCAGAAACATAGGCAGGATTAAATAGTAAAGTGTAAACAACTTTGTTTATATCCTTATGAAAATATTTAATAAAAGTGTTCGTACCTTTAGCTTTCCTAGTAATTCTTGCGAAGTAAATATGTGTGTGACTTCAGTTTCATTAATTCCATGAATAATACCATCTTCGCCGAGCGTAGCATACAAAGTAGCCACTGAAATTGAAGACAAGAATAGAATACGGAAGGACAACTAAGAAACACAAGTGAGGAAAATTACTAGAATCAAAAAAGTAATCAAACCTGGAACATTAATTCTAAAGCAAACTTGACATACAAGCATCCATTCTACTCTTGTTTCAGCAAAGATAACGACCTGCTTTTTTGGTTGCAAACCTATTTCAAGCATGCCCTTAGTGAGATTTTCTACACGCTGTTCGATATCAATATATGAAAACCACTGATAATCTCCAAGTCGGACCTAAAATGCCAGAAAGTTTTCAAAAGTTAAGAACTAATCTTGATTACAAAAGAAAATTATTAAAAACTTTTCACAATTCCTAACATGGAGTTAATTTTTAAAATAATTGAATAACGGAAAGTTATTTTAAATGCAATTTACAGTAAAACTCATTACCTTACTTTAGAATGTTGAAACACCTTTATCTAATTTATTTTTGTCAAAGAGATAGAATCCTTCATCATAAGGAGTTAACCAATAAGAATAAAATATCTGTGGTGCGTATTAAAACGTCCATCTTAATGCAAGCGATGGCAGTTATAAAGAGGAGCTAGAATGTATTTCTTCCCTATCCGGATATATTGAGATTATATGGATATAGTATAATTACCAGAAAGCTCATTCGTGCTATGTTTTTAAAGGAACTGTTGCCTTCATAAAGATGCTCTGAAAAACTGAATATTCATGCATCATATGCAGAAATTGATGAAAACTCAAGCAGCCAGCTCATTCGCTAGGATTTGAATCCGGGACAAACTACCAACTTTTAACCATCTTATTTGCTTTGCCGCTAGTGGGTGCTCTTCAATATACATTGAAGAGTGCTCGATCCACGAATCAGTAGTTAAAACAATTATAAGCATCCCTCTGGAAAACATTTCTCACCTTTGGCAATTGGTCTTTTGCGTATCTAAAAAACACATTCAGTTAATATTGTGGAAGTAAAAAAAATGCCTTAACATATATAATGAGAATTCCAGTAAGCTGGAAAATTATAGGCAAAACGCAGTATAGGCGCGTTGTATAGGCAAAACGCAGAGAAGTTTAAACATTTTAATTCCACATTCAAACGCTTATGGAGTTCTTAGATCTTGCATATATGTGGATCCCAAATGTGTTTCAGTTTGAAGTATGTATTTAAACACTTATTTTACTTGTTACACTAAGGATTACGCTTATAAATAGTAAATGAAGATTTTTTTCACGGCCAGAGCAAAACGTTCATGACAAGATAAGACCAAGTTAGTATAACCCTCATTACAAACGGAACTGAGGAACTTAACTTTACTCGGATACATATAGGATGAGGCAATCTCTTTGACCAAAATTTATCGTTCAGACATGAACTACCTTCTTTGATCACAAAGATTAATAGCTAAATTGCTAGAATTCAGGCAAAACTGATCTGCTAAATATTTCACTTGTACGTTAAGCCTTTTTGTAACTGGGCGAGGTAATTCTACGAACTTTCACTTAATTTCAAATTAATGCTGTCAAAGTCTGATTTAGGACTTTTGCTGCAGATAGGTTTGAATGAAAGAAAATATTGACAAAACAAGCTTAAATATCATGAAGATTAGCCTGGACTAGATTATTTACAGTATTTGGTATATACAAACTTGGAGGTATTTGCGGATAATTTTCCAATCGAAATTAGCTTGTATTTAAGTTACGTACGGTGATACTACGAAAATTCGATGCTTACTGTGTACGGCTGCTGATACTCTAACTCAAAATGAAAAATCAGTGCTTATATTATTTATGTCTTATTTTGTAATTAAATTATACTTCAATATATAAATAAGCAGAAAAGGTGTTCTAATAGTACAATTTTTGAAGTTACTCTCGCATTCAGGAAGTCCCCCGGGGGGGGGAGGATAATTACCGACTTAAGAAACTACTGTAGCGGATTATTTCTTCAATTTTGGGCAGTTACGTCTCGTTGTGTTACGCTGTGCTAACACACATTTATCATGCATGTAGCCTGGAAAGTATTGCCACCGAAATTGATAAAAGAACATTAACTCATGACAAATTGCAGTTTTCAGATTATTGCCATTCAACGCTCCGCAAGATCTTCATCGTCTAAACTATAACAAATTTTCGCTACTTAAAAATCAGTAAAAACACCCAATAACTTTAGATCACACCCGATATATTTACAGTGCATTTAATGTATAATACAATATCCAGATGATAATTTTATGAAAATTTGAGGAACACTATTTTACAAAAGATGCATTTTACGATCTTCTACCGTCATACATTACGTATGTCAATGTAAAATTGGTTGGATTTCTCACAGAATGAGGCACTGATATGAGCTGCTTCTTAACATATTGTGTATTTGTAGAAATAAGATTGCACTTACATAATCCAGAATAATAAGTAGCTTTCCAGCTGAATGCTAAGTGATTTCGTACTTAATATTTGATGAACAAAAGTTACAAATGCCAACAATTACCAACATTTAACCTAAAATTTCTGTAATTGGGTAGAGTTTCAAAGCAAGTTGGGTACAGTTTCAAAGAAAGTTTTTCGCAAAACAAGTATTGCGTCGATAAGGTAAAAAATAACACAAAAGTCAACAAAAAACTTTACATGATAAAACATACTTTTAACACTAAATCCCATTCAGTTTTTATACGTCTAGAAACTACCATGAATTGCATGGAGCAGTAGGACGACGGACTTAATTAAAATTTTTATCTAAAATGAATCTGGAATATGACTACAAGATCTTTTAGGAGAAACGAACAGAATTCCATGTTAAAATTAAAATAGGATCTGATTTATACTAACTTATGTTTAATGCAATAAATGTGCGTTATTAAAAGATTAAAAGGCGGTAACTATATTACCCATAGTGCGGCCGGTTAAGAAAGTTTTCGTTGTCCTAACTTATCCGGATTCTTGCTTATCGAATTTGCGTAAATTAAGAGGAGAAAGGTGGAAAACTTGAAATCTGCAATATTAGTAAAATTAAGAAATGAAATAAAGAGAACCTCAAAAATTACCTTTTTGAAAACTTTTCCATTCTTGTAATATTCATCAGCTTCTGCAAGAACCTCTCGAACACCAACACACTTCTTCGTACCATGTCGCATAACTGACATCCTAAATAGTTCATCCATAGTGGTTATCCCATCCAATGGATTGTTACCACTACGGACTAGACGAACGCATGGGCTGTATGGGTCATTTTCTCTGATATGTTTTGCCTGCAAAAATACTTCTATTTATTCCAATAATTTTTCGAAAGTCAAATTTAGCAACATAATATCAAATACATTAATTACAGCCTGATATACAAGCAAGTTAGAATTTTTTTTCAAGTCCTCGCAGCAAAGTGGGTCAAGTTTCTATATTAGAATGAATGAAGTCAAGGATAAATTTAAAATACACCAGATTATATTTCATTCGCACACAAGGAAACCTCGAAGGTAACCTTGGAGCTATAGCTATCTTGAAAATCAGATGGGATTAGACTAGCATTGTTCAACGATCTCAAGTAATTGATCAATTTTAATAAGATCGTAAGGATCATTGAAAATTTTTGCCAGTTGATAGCCAGTCAAAATGATTCCATAACGAAATCGGGAAAATTAAATGCGATATTTAAACTGAATAACAGATGTTTTAAAAACTAAAAACGTATATGGTGAAATGAATACTTGCTCATTTGTTTGAACGCGAACACATATTTGGAAAGTACACAATTTAAGAATGTAGAAAATTTTACGGATGGAGTATTGAAGTATTTTGAAATTTTAATCCAGAAACACTAAGAGACTCCTTCAATTACAAAGCAGTGGTTTTCCAAAAAACAATACGAATACTACGCAGGTTAGAACATATTGAATTAGAAATAAAGTAACGTTGCTCAAATTGGTTAATACTGAGGAATCAACTAAAACTTCGATACTAAAAAACATGAACAAACAATTACCCAAATTTTTCTTGCAGCTTTCCACCTCCTCCACGGCTGCTGGACTAGAAAATATACTGGGAATGTAATGATGTCGAAGATGCATATGATGCACTTTACAATAAATAACTTGGCATTAGTTTTTAAATCCATATTAGAACACGAATTCTGAAAGTAAAATTAAGCAAACGTTAATTATCAATAGACAGACAAGTCATTTAATAAATTTTAAACTATTATGGAACCTCCAGACCTACGGAATAAGTGGCACCACATCTTTTTAATCCCCAAAACGTACGTCAAATGGACATTACAGCAACATAAATGAAGAATATTTCCCCCGTTTTCCTTTTTTCCGTATTTTATTTCAACTAGATTGTGGGGTTAAATATGCATGTAGACTTCCTAAAGCAAAACTTTCTCCAACAGAAAATTAGGCAATGACTTTTTTTTAAATCTGCCTAAGACGCAAATTTATATTATAAAACATAACAATATTTGTGAATTTCAGAGGCAACCAGTTGGCTAAATCTCAAAAAGTGCCGAAATATGCACACATACCCTCCCATCCACCTTCGCACAAAACTCAAATCGCTACTTGAAAGGTGATTTTTACTTTTTCTTCATTGAATTTCGTGGTGATGGCATTAAGAATAGATTCAAAGCATAGTTTTCCTTAGCGATTTTTCTGCAAAGTACTGAATTCCCGCAGAATTTCATTGCATTTTCTCCTGTTGCACAGACATCTTAAGCGTATATGGGAATGTTACTGGTTAAAGTGAAGAAAATTTATGAGCATGGTTGCCAGAATTTCTAACATTTTTAAAGTATGACGACTTCTATTGCGGACTTCTATCAATACAAAAGTACCCAATTTTCTCGACCCTTAATAAGTTCGCTGCATAAATTATGATCCGAATGTATAAGAATATAAACCAAGTATTCGGTCTTTCAGGGTGACATTTAACACTGAATCTTCGGATAAATTTTTTATTCATTTGAATATGCTTCCAAATTGCAAGAAATAATTTTTCCAAAGTAAAACCGACATTAAACATTGACATTTAACCGGTGAAGACTACAAAGTAACCATTACCGATAATAAATAAAATGGAATGAAACTGGATCAATTTTGCAAATAATGGACTCTTTACATGTAGCGAGAACAAATGGAAAAAAACAATGGATGTAAATTAAGTGGGCTGGGCGTTCCATGTATGAATAACGTGAAACAATATTCAACAGAAATAACGATTTATTAACCCAAGGCTAATTAGATTAGTGAAACAATTTCAAACATTTATTGCAACCACCTTAGTAGAAATCTCCAAAGCTTCAGAATACGGCAAACTCCGCTGGCCACGAGCATAACAGTTATTCAGGCAATCATGCGCAATAAGTATTGAGATTATAGAATGAATATTCAGTTTGCAACGTCACTATTTTCATATGCGTTCTTGTTTATTCCAAGGGCTTTTACAGGAAAATTATGATTTTTTTTGTCTAAACAACTTTTTAAAACTTGTGCTAGCAGGATTTTCCTACCCTAAAACAAAGAGGTGAAATTTCTGGTTGGTTGGTTGGCTTTTAATGACAAAACCTGTGAAATTTCTGGAGGAATAGATTATGCTGCCCGCAAAATCTCTATAGGAACAAAACTTCGAATTTTTTCAATAAAAATTACGTTTGTAACTAGGTTTACTGATTGTCTTATGGAATAAATATATAGATGCAACGTAGAATATTTACGTAATAGCGTGTATGTAATATATAGTTTTTTACAATAAAAGTAATTTTCTTCCGTAAAAATCGCCAAATTTTCACCAAGGTGGTTAAGTACCTAAACGTACTGGTTGGGAAGCAAAAGAGGTTAGGTTATTCAATTACGGCAAAGTCTCGAGGGCTATCTGCCTATGGGGAGGGATGCCTTCGCGGAGGACTTTCTAAGGGACATTGGCTCGTACACACGTTACACATGGGGAAAACCACGAAAACACCCATGTAGCCAGCCCATTCGCGGGATTCGAACCTCGGACCGAACTACCAGTGTTCAGCGACTTTACCGCTCGGCCGCTGGTGGGCTGGGAAGCAAAAGAATTGAAAGCGTTGAAAAATTGATACATTTTCTTGCTGAACCAGTATATATACAGACAGCTCATTTAATATTAATGCGAAAGTTTTTCGGCTAAATTAGGTACTTTATTTGCAACAATTTAATTATATTTTATAAATGTATCAATAAATAGTAGCATTCGAAGTTCAAGATTCTCGCGAGTAAACGAATTCTCGCAATATTAATTATGCTAGAACATTCGAGATTATCTGAACAAGCAGAACTTCACAGATGACTTTACAAAGGAACCCGGCTCATAATTACTTTACAAATGGTGAAAAATCACAGATACCCATGCAGCTGGAGCTGAGAACAAAACACTAGAGTTCTGCAGAGTTAGAATTTCTCAGGAAGGAACTAAAGTTCATTAAGTAAACGTTCCTGAAAGTGCAGTAACAGTTACAAAACTTCATGAAAATTTGAAAGAGAAAAGATTATTTATATGCTTAATACCTTTTCTGTTCGAATGATTACAAAACATTTCAACAGCACCATTACACAGCTATCCGCACATCTGTTTTAGACAAGCAACTGTTTCAAGCAATTTTTCTACCGATTATAACTGGAAGAAAGACGCCTGATTTTTCGTCTATTCCTCAAAAAGTGGTGGATTGCACGTTTTTACCCAATTAGGATTTAACTAAAAAATTTGAATGAGTGTTTTTTGTTGGTATTCTGCTCCTTTACGGGGTAATCTCGAAGTGATCCATGGCAATTGGCTGTTTTGTATTGTGACAAAACAGAAAAATTGCCCTAAACATTTGTTCTTCCGAAATTTTTCGAATGCGATATGTAGCTCTTAGGTACTACATCATTCAGCCACTTGTAGAATTTGGTTTATTAAGCGCAGTATCACTGCATTAAAACATTCAGGAAGAAACGATGCTTTGAATCTATTCTTAATGCCATCACCACGAAATTCCATGAGAACAAAAGTAAAAATCACCTTTTAAGTAGCGATCTAAGTTTTATGCGGAGGTGGATGGGTGGGTATGTATGCATATTTCGGCCCTGAGATTTAGGAAACTGGTTGCTTCTGAAATTCACAAGTATTGTTTTGTTTTATAATATAAATTTGCGTCTTAGGTAATAAAAAAAGTCGTTGCATAATTTTCTGTTGGAGAAAGTTTTGCTTTAGGAAATCTACAGGCATATTTAACCACACAATCTAGCTGAAATAATTCATCGCATTTTTCTGCTATCACAAATCTAAAACAGCCACTCATTACAGATCACTTTTGGAATGCTATGTAAAGAGGCAACTAGTTATCCATCGGAAAGAGATAACCAGCAATAAGAACTTCTATTCAAGTTCTTTAGATCGATGGTTCTTAAGATTGATAGCTCACTGGGTAAAACCTTTTGCGGAATAGAGGAAAAATTCCAGCGCCTTTCTGTCAGTGGTAAAGCCAATAGAAAACTGAAGCAGCTTTTCGCTCTAACTAATCACTTTTACATCCCTCTGTAATACATAGTTTTATTTTGTTTCACAAGTTAATTCGGTTTCTTTGCTTAGAAGTAGATTATATGCGTCAATAATACCGGTCGAAAGGAATTTCAGTGCGTAGAAACTGAAATACAAAATTACCTCTCCCATCTGTCATTATACGATTTGATGAGGAAGACAATTACAACCTCTGGCTGTATCTTCAGAGAACTGTTTCCGTAAAAATGTTATTACTCCACTGACTGGTTGCTTATTGAAAAGAATTCTTCGTTCAGCAATGTAAAGTGTACTGAAAAGATAACAGCAAAGAAACTTAAACCTAGAACTGAGATACAAAACGTTCTCAATTGTGCCAAGAAAGGCAAGTTATTAGACATGTTAAAGTAAACTATGCTCAACCAGTCACGAAAATTATTATCCATGTTTGATACTCTCGTAATCAGTTAATTATTCAAATAGTGCATCAAATGTCATGAAAGGCTGCATGTAGAGTGGGTTGCCAAACGTAACCGTGGATTAGTGAGGGTAATATGAGAAAGGGAATTAATTTTGCAAAAACATTGTTAATAAATTTAAGAATTTCTGGAACACTTATTCTTCAGCAATGAATCGAAAATCGAATTAAGAGAAGCAGGAAGAAAATTGCTTGCCGATAGTCCTGATCATAGCTTGATCAAAGCAATCTCTGCTACCTTTAAGTATGAAGGGCTAGACGAACTAGACGTTTTGAGACTTACGTCAGCGGCGAGAATGTTGTTTGTATGCAATGGTTTTAAACATCTTGAAATTTCACCTCCGTCGAATCCCGTCGACTCCGCATGGGAAGAAGTAAAGAAATAAAAATTTCTCCAATGGATAAAAATAATTGTGCTTTCATACAGAATGGAATAAAACTGGCAGCAGTTTGCCTTAAAATCTGGCAAAATCAGTGCCTTCTAGACTTTATGCGGCCATGTGTGCAAAAAGTAATGCGATGAAATATTCATGACTGAATTTTTAAGTTCTCTTTATAACGGGAAAGTGGTCGAGTATTCGCAACTATAAAAGTATAACTATAAAACTACTAGTAACTAACTAAAATTAAATGTTCAAAATTAAACGAAAAGTATTTGCCTATTAATGTTCAGTCTTCATAAAAGATTCTACAAGTCTCAGGGATGACATACAGGGGTTGGACAAAAATATGGAAACACCTTTAAAAAAACATGTTTCTTTGCTTAATATGGTGTAGGAAAACCGTTGGCATCCAAAACAGCTTGCAGTCTTCTCGGAATGGATAAATACAGTTCCTGTATGTTTGCCAAGGGAATATTATACCATTCTTCCTGCAAAACGGTGGCAAGTTCAGATAACGATGTTGGCGGTGGATAACGAGAACGCACTTTCCGTTCCAATGTAGACCACAAAGGTTCGATAATATTCAGGTCTGGTGACTGTGGTGGGCTCAGGGGAGATGGGACAACTCATCCTCGTGCTCAGAAAACCAGTCCTGGACAATGTGAGCTGTGTGAAAAGGGGCTTTGTCGTCTTGGAAGACACCATCACCATCGGGGAACAAAGTTTGTACCATGGGATAAACTTGATCGGCCAAAATGTTCACATAAGTCT